ATCAGACACCTGGATAATGACACAAAAAGTACACTTAAGTTCTCCAATAATAATTCTACGTATGTAGTCATGTCCTAGGTAGGCTTCCATTGCTAGATTTAGAGAGTGAAAAGATGACAACTGAAGTTTTTGCCAATTCTGCTGCTATGCAGAATAAGTATCTAGGTGGAGGAGTTGGCCTTGGTTAATGACAGGCAACATGAGGGTGGATAAATGGTGAAGGACAGAGACTTGGCTTGGGATGGTGGACGCACAATACAGTGTACAGATGACGTGTTGTAGAATTGTACACCTGAAACCTGTATAATTTTGTTAACCAGTGACACCCCAATAAATTCAATGAAAAGGAAAAACACATGAGAAATATGTCATATTGTTAATATTAATTATATCATAAAGTTCTCTTGATATATTAAATAATTAATAATGCACTTTTATAGACATTATTACTCACTAATCACAACAACCCTACGAGGTACAAAATTCACTTTCATCCTCATCTGTAACAGAAGTAAAGGAAGCTTTTAATGTCATATAGGTAGCAAATGACAGTGTCAAAATTTGAATCCAATTCTCTCTAACCCTAAAGCCTAGTGTTTCAACCCCTACACATACAACTACCTCAAAGAAACTTCCAAACATAATCTAGACCATTAAACCAAGTCCCAAAATAATCCATGACATAGTTTAGTGAAATCTTTATTTATTGAGTACCCACAGGATAGATAGTACAGAAAATGAAGGAAATTAGGCCCAGTTCTTTATTTACTTCCATTTGAGGAACAGAAAACAATAAACAATGAATGAACTGTTCTGCTCAACTTAAGTATGAATATTGAATTAAGCAGGATGGAGATAGTAGAGAGTACAGTGACCTTGGGAATTAGCTGGTCCTGCGTGAAATTAAACAGCATGCAAGGAACATTTCTGAATCATTTTTCTCACCTGTGAAATGAGAGGACTCAACCATCTCTGAGGTACCATCTAGCCCTTCCATTCTAACATTATAGCTCTTCATACTTTCAGCTGCCCCAATTCTCCTCATTCTCCCTGTGATACATGGGACAGGTTGTTATGGGAAAACTATGTCCACATGGGAACCTTATGTAAACAAAACAAAACAACTCCTTTGATGGACAAGAAAAGGCGGAAGAAATAGATGGATGAGTGTGGGATTGGAGAACTCTAGGAAGGTTTCTGGATTTGGTCTGTGCAATTACTACCTGCCTGCTCTTCATTGCTAATCTTTAGCCAAATCCATGAATTCAATAAGAGAGGGACTGGAAGATTCCACCCTAGATACCGCTGATGTCGCAGTCCGTATAAAACAGCTCCCCCTTCCTTTCTGTGCTCACTACCCACACACACACTCACCCACTTCACTTCCCTATTCACGCGTGTGCACCATTCATAAGTATCAGCACAGGGCAGGATAAGAGAGTTGAGAGCACTCATCCCACGTGCTGGAACCAAGCACAAGACCATAAGCTCTATGACAGCACACCTGCTCCGCTCTCTATCTCTAGCACCAGGAGCAGTGCCTGGCACACAGAAGGCACTCAATATATATTTGTTAAAATCCACAGCTCTGTTTCTACTCTGTCTCCCTTACTACCAAAAGGCTCCATCTTGATCAGACTAGAAGCTCCATAAAGGCAGGAGGACCTCCCCACATTAGTCTTAGAATTCCCATCCCCTGGTAAAATGTCTGAGACACACTGGCACAAAATATACCTTTGGGGAATGTTAGAACTGACAAAAATACAACTGAATATCCAGGTTAAGAGATATATCTCATAGGCAAGAAATAATAATCCCAGAATTATTTTACTAAATAGAATGCATTTTAGCATATAATCTTGAAGCAGATTGTGATCTTTGATCCTTCTATTACTAGTTTGTAAAAAATGAGAAGCATAATGTTAAGGGAGTAAATTGACACTTTAACAGAAAACAAAAAAGACATTAAATGATGAGAAATACCACACGTGTAGTTAAGAAGACACATATAAAAAATGTCTATTCTCCCCAGATTGATGTATAAATTTAAAGCAAATTTAAGCAAAATCCTGATGTTTTTGTTTGTTTTGTTTTCAGAAAAGGCTCTTTAAAAATACATGTGAACCCTAGCCAGTTTGGCTCCGTGGCTAGAGCAGTGATGGCGAACCTTTTGAGCTTGGCATGTCAGCATTTTGAAAAACCCTAACTTAACTCTGGTGCCGTGTCACATATAGAAATTTTTTGATATTTGCAACCATAGTAAAACAAAGATTTATATTTTTGATATTTATTTTATATATTTAAATGCCATTTAACAAAGAAAAATCAACCAAAAAAAATGAGTTCGCGTGTCACCTCTGACACACATGTCATAGGTTCGCCATCACTGGGCTAGAGCATCAGCCTGTGGACTGAAGGGTCCCAGGTTTGATTCCAGTCAAGGGCACATGTCCAGGTTGCAGGCTTGATCCCCAGTAGGGGGTGTGCAGGAGGCAGCTGATCAATGATTCTCTCTCATCATTAATGTTTCTATCTCTCTCCCTCTCCCTTCCTCTCTGAAATCAATAAAAATATATTTTTTTAAAAACACATGTGAAAAGCAACTCATCCAAGATGGCTATAGGGTCATATGCATCCCTATCCATGGCCCCAGGACAAATGGTGAGCCCTGCCCCCTCCTTAGTCATGCTCACCAAAAAATCCTACTTCCTGTAAAAAAACAAAAAAACATACACACACACACACACACACACACACACACGTGAAAGGGACCAAAAAGAGGCAAGACATTTTTGCATCATGGGCAAAGAAGCTGCCCAAAGCTTGGAGTGCTAGTTCTGCAAATGGCAAGGCTCCACTCCAGGCTCCACACCTCTGTCAACTGAAAAAAAGAGATTCCAGAGCTCAGGACTCTCCTGGGCCAGCGCCAACATCCAGCCAACCTCTCCTTGCAACACTTACAGCCTCACTGCCTCTATCTGCCTGGGTCATCATTCAAACCCACCTTGTGAGGCCCTATACCTAAGTCCACTGAGTCACCCCAGGGAGCCCACACCATCCAGGTCCTCCCTCTTCCTCATAAAGTATGTAAATATTCTAGATAGATCCCATCTTTTAAACCCATCCTCTCTGTCTTCTGGAATTTGCAGCCTGTTATCAGCAAAATCCCCCACCTCGGGACTTCTGTCCTTCATTGCTCTGCTCTGATGACCCTGCTTCTCAGAGATCTCAGATCACTGTCCCTCCCTTCTCCCTAAAAACCTCTTACTTTGACATTCATGCCATCGACTCTATGAATGCAATAAAAGTCTTAGAACAAAACAACCTCCCTGGAACTCATGTCTTCCTCCAGCTACCATTCCATTTTCTCTCCCCCCCCCCCCCCCCGTTTCTACAGAATACACTCAAAAGAGTTTTCTGGACATGCTGTTCCCATTATCTGTCCTCTTTGTCTGTCTGGAAACTGTTTTATAGACATTCATCCCGATGATGATAAAAAAAAACTTCTCTTTTCAAGGTCACCAATGACCTCCACATTGCTAAGTCGAACAGTTGGGTCTCAGGCCTCATCTTCCTTGAGCTCTCAGCAGTACTGGGCACAACCGAACAGTCCCTTATTTCTGCACATCTGCCCCCACCCCAAGGTGCTGAGCACCCCTCTCAGGGTCTCTGCTGATCTCACTGGCCATTCTCTCAGCCCCTTTACTACTGCTCTAGTCTCCCTGACCATGAAATGTTGGAGTGCCCAGGACCCTGTCCAAGGACCCCTCTCTTTCTGGGCACATCTGTATACACTGGCTACATAATTTGCAGAACCTAGTGAAAAATAAAAATGCAGCCCAGCCAGTATGGCTCAATGGTTAAGTGTTGACCTATGAACCAGGTCACAGATCAGCAGGAGGGCGGGCCAGCAAAGTACAAGCGACTCACGACCAGATCACAGATCAGCAGGAGGGTGGGCCAGCGGTCAATCCCAAGTATGGGGTGTGTAGGAGGCAGCCGATCTATGATTCTCTCTCATCATTGATGTTTCTCTCTCCCTCTCCCTTCCTCTCTGAAATCAATAAAAATATACTATGTAGTAAGAGAGGAATATGCTAATTAGCCATTACATCCTGAGGCGTAACAACCAAGCACCTCACGACCAGATCACAGATCAGCAGGAGGGCGGGCCAGCAAAGTACAAGCGACTCACGACCAGATCACAGATCAGCAGGAGGGCGGGCCAGCAAAGTACAAGCGACTCACGACCAGATCACAGATCAGCAGGAGGGCGGGCCAGCAAAGTACAAGCGACTCACGACCAGATCACAGATCAGCAGGAGGGTGGGCCAGCAAGATACAAGTGGCTGCGGAGAGCTACAGGAGCGGGCAGGGCAGCAAGCTATGAGGGGGGAGAGGAGAGGGGGGAGGGGGGTTATAGGACAGGGCAGCAGGTGGAGAGCTACAGGAGGGCAGCAGCAACCTACTGGCGCACGGATTCATGTGTAGGGCTACTAGTATATTAAGAAAAAAAGAAAATGCAGGCCCCCTGTCCAAAATTTATTAAGACTTCCAAGACAGCAGCAGCCAATCATTAAAGCAAATGTAAGCCTCTTCCATGAGCCGGGCCCTGTGCAACTGCACAGTCACACACCCATGGAGCCGTCTGCTGAGGACTCTTTTTTTTTTTTTTAATATATTTTTATTGATTTCAGAGAGGAAGGGAGAGGGAGAGGGAGAGAAACATCAATGATGAGAGAGAATCACTGATCCACTGCCTTCTGCACGCCCCCTACTGGGCATCAAGCCTGCAACCTGGCATGTGCCCTTGACTGGAATCAAACCCAGGACCCTTCAGTCCTCAGGCCGATGCTCTATCCACTGAACCAAACCAGCTAGAGCTGCTGAGGACTCTTGAATTTATTTCTCTGGACTAGAACAACACTCCCCTGAACTCTAGGCCCATACACCCACTTCCCTACTAAACATCTCCACTCGGCTCTCTAGTATGCACTCACCTGTTCAAAACCAAATTCCTGACTACCACCCACTTCCCTCCACAAGAGAGAGCCCTGTTCTTTCTGCAGTCTTCCCCATCCTGGTACATTCTTCCAGGTTCTCAGACCAAAAACCTCTGAGCCAGCTTAGATTCTCCTTTTTACGTAAGCCTCATCCAAGTCATGAGCAAATGCTGCTGGCTCTACCTTCAAACATATGGAGGATGTATCCACTCCCCCTCCTTCCACCTTAGCTCTGCCACAGGGACCATCTGGCACCTGGATTACTGCTGTCCCCTCCCACTGGGCTCAGCCCTTGTTCTCCAGTCTAGTCTCAACCCATATGCCCTGTGATAATTTTACAGTGGAAGTCCCCTCAAAATGAGTTTAAAGGTGCCCTCACATTACTCAAATTTAAGAAAAACTGCTCTACATTACCTGATAAGCTGTTTGCCTTTCACATTACCCAACTACAGAAATAGTAAAGTCACTGGTTCTTATATGCCTGTTTTCTCAAAACAAGAAACAAAAAGATTACAGGTAACCCCAGCTCCAAACTGCAACCCCTGGACCTTCCTCATATCAAACATCTACCTACAAACCTTCCGAGAGACCCGAGATGGAAAGAATCTAATTGTTTTTTAAACTCCCTTTCTACTTTCCATTATCTAAGGGTCTGGGGAACGTGTCCTGTATCATAATCACAGAGCATACAACTCAACAAGATTTTTGTTTCTAAATATGTGGGTTTTTTTAAAGATAAAAGAAAAAAAAAAGAACAAAATCCAGACGTGAGCGGTGGGGAATGCTGTCTGAAGCACCGG